GAATGCTATGATCCAGACTGCATTTCCCGAGCCTATACACCAGCAAATATTCTCATGGTCTACACTAAAATATTCAGTCAAGTGCTATCTGTAGTGACAGCAGGCTGGGAGTGTTAGTATTCCAGTGAGTGAACACACAGATAAAACTTGGCAAATGTATTCTTTAGCAGAGAAGTCACACATTAGAAACCACACTAAAGTGGACTTAAACATCCAGGGAAACATGAAATAAGGCATCCTTTCTGTAAAATAACTGTTTATGAAAAGGAAGTACTATTCCTTATATAAGACTACAAAAAATACATATTAAATAAACCCAGTTCAATGCACTAGCTAGGTGACAAGAAGGAGGCAGGAGAAAGAACAAAGGTTAAAACAAAATCAGAATGTGTGATCTAATGATGACAAGCTGCCTCCATACCTGAAGGGAGTTTTAGCAATTTCTCTAATTGCAAGGCTCAAAAGCATGGAAGAGACCAATGATAAAGCAAGTATAGAGGAGCACACCTGGACAAAGATGTGGATATTCAGAAAGGAAGTTAGCTAACATAATTATAAGAAGAATGAAATAAGTGAAGAGACAGGGCATATTATTAATGGGTAGGAAGTTAATGCTGTTGCCTTTCAATTCTCTTCAAATTAATTATGTATATATTAATATGTATGTATGAATGTATTCATGTGTGTACCTGTCTATCTATTATCTGTCCATCCTTCCATCCACCTCTCTGTCATCTATCTATCTATCTATCTATCTATCTATCTATCTATCTATCTATCTATCTATCATACTGGGGATTGAACCTAGTGCCTCTTGTAGTATGCTAGGTAAGTGCTCCACAAAAATCTAAGCAGTTTACATATTTAATAGTACTTTATGCCTCCAATATAACAAAGTTTTTTCATGGAGCTTCACAAGATGATTCTAAAGTTCATTTGAGTGAGCCAAGGGTAAAAAATAGCCAGTATACTCTTGAAGGAAAACAAGTTGGAAGGGGGAATATTAAGAAATAATAATGTTGGTATCTGAGATATTGCAGTATCGACATAGAGATAGAGAGACAAATGAAACCCAGTCAAGCTCCAGGAAATCAACCCATACACATAGAAATTTGTATGACAGAATGAAATTCTGTATCAGTTGAGAAGTCATGACTTTTGGGGGAGGTTCTCTCTCTCTTTCTCTCTCTCTCTCTCTCCCCCCTCTCTCTCTCACTCTCTGTCTCTCTCTTTCCCTCTCTTTGGTTTTTCAAGACATGTTTCTTTGTGTAGCCTTGGCTACCCTGGACTTGCTTTGTAGCCCAGGCTGGCCTCAAACTCAGAGATGTGCCTGCTTCTGTTTCCCTGGGTGCTGGAATTACATGTGTGCCACTGCATCCACTGTGATGAATTATTTTTAATGAGTGGGAGTAGGAAGGATTAGCAAAACCCGTAAGAAATTAGATCCTTATCTGTAAAGAAAAAATGAACAAATTAAAGAGTACCATAAATTCCATAGCTCTTTAAAAATATTTTAAAACATTCAAAGGAAAAAGCCTTAATGGCCCTGGGAATAAAGAATGATTTTAAAAACAGTATACACTAGAAAGGTAAGGAAGAGAATGAAGAAATATAATGTACTGAAAGATGCCATAAAATGAAAAACACAAACAAGCTAGATTAAGATGGTAGCCATTCACATAATTAATGAACTAGTCAGCAGATAGTATTGTAAGGTTCAAAAATACACAAAAACCAGTCAATAGCAAACAAGTTTGGAAATAAACAAGAAGAAACTCAAGTATCATTATGAATGCACAAAAAGCTGTATCCAGCCTCTACCTGGATAATTTAAACTGTGCCGAGGTCCGAGGAAGTAGTTCAGTGGTAGAACACTTGCCTCGCACACATAAGGCCCTGGGTTAATGCTTCCATCAAAACACACACACACTCACACACTCACATCTTGCTGGTCTTGCAGAAGATCTGAGTTCTGTTCCCATCAGCTAGATAGTGGCTCAAAACTGCCTGTGTCTTCAGTTCTAGGAAATCCAACTCTCTCTTCTGGCTTCCACATGGTGCAAAGACATAACACATGCAAACTAAACACTTGCATAAAATTAGAAAGTAAACAAAACCGCAAAACTTCCAGTGAGATATTACCTTCTAGCTATCAGACTAACAAAATCTAAAAGACTGAAAATTGTAAATGTGGCCAACACAGAGGGTGACAAGTCAGGATGGCGACATAGGGAACATGGTGGGACCACTGGTGTAGGTAATCAAGTACGACATGCTTTCCTGTGACCATCAAGCTTCTCTGGGCACATAATCAGGAGGAGCTCTGATGACCCAAGAGAACGGAGGCATCTGTAACAGTGCTGCAGGAAGCTACAGAACCCTGGGCACCCACTGTCCCTTCACTAGAACATGGACACATTTGCTATATTTACGGAACTGGACATAATACAGAGATTCTTTTTACTGAAATGGATCAATTTTAAAAACCAAATATTGAGTGACAAGGCAAGTTTACAATGTACATATTTGTTATCAATGCAAAAGCATAAAAGCAAGCATAAATAATAATAATATTATATGTGTTTCTGTGTGTGTATTCTGTATAAAAACAATAAATATGGGCCACTGAGATGGCTCAGCAGCTAAAGGTACCCACAGCCAGGCATGATGACCTGGGTTTGATCCCTAGGACCCACAAGGTGAATGCCCCTCTTCCCCGGGCCCCCACCCCTTACAGCACAGCAGGAGGGCAAGGAAAGAGAAGTAAGGAAGGTGGTTTGGAATACACTGTGGATCCCAAGTCCAGTTCATGGTAAAAATCCAATGCAGGGGTTTTCAGGTCTGACCTTAGGCAGGCAAGTCTTGAGACCCAGCTGCTCATGCTCATACAGGCATTTCGATGCCTATGTTGTGGTTCTTTTTTGTTTGTTTGTTTTAGTTTGAGGCCTTGGGCAAGAAACTTCAGGTACTTTAGATTCCCTAAAGTCTCCTTTTGTGGAAGTCTCTTTTTGGGGACTAAACGGGATACTTTGAAAATACTCCACTCTACTATGTCTCAGTACCTAGTGTTTTCCCTCCCAACTCCTTTCTCACCCACCTCTATGACCCCAGCATTCATACAATTGTAGGAGCCTCTTGTTTGGGGCTCCCTCAACAGCATACCGATCCCCACAATGCTCTGCTTGACCTTTTCTGGACACAGCACTGTTCTATAGAGGAAAGAAGATGGGAATTCTCTCTGGCTTTGTACTCTTGTTTATGCTACTGAAGAAATGGAAGTTTGGTTCTCTCCTTGGCTTGCTCCTGTACTTGGTTTGCTACTGGCAGCTCAGCTATTCCACAGCTTGGCTAAACTGGTGGCAGTGATGTATTTCTTAAGTTGGGTGATGTAATAAAGCTACTCTGAACTTTATTCACAAAAATCTATAAAGAATTAAGTTTGGTGGAAATCCTGTGGAAGCAAAATAAGGTAGAAAGATAAAGAAGCAGCTGGTTCCATGATGACCTAGGAATTGCAGAAGGCAGCAGGAAAGCTTAATTCATGGTTACAGTCAAGGGGGGGGGGGCTCCATTCTTTTAAAACTCTGGGTGTAAGGCCCAGATGTGGTAGCACACTTTTGTAATCTCAGCACCCAGGAGGCTGAGGCAGAAGGGTCCCAACTGCAAGGCCAGCTTGAACTACCAGGAAATATTCTGTCTCAAAAAAATAAATTGTTGGGTAGGCAGAAAGTAGGACCCTTTGAAGAAGGTTAGAAGCAAGTTATATGTTCTCTCTCTCTCTCTCTCTCACTCTCTCTCTCTCTTTTGGTATGAAATACTTTAAGGTCAGCTCTTCTCAGATTTGATTATCTCTTAAGTTTGGGGCTAAATGTAATGTCTAGTACCTATCTGTACTGAGTCTCCAGATAATGATCTTTGAGTTAATAATCACATCATATAGAAGCATATACTTACATAATGACCTAAAACTACCTTTATTCAAATTACAATATCTAGTTGGTGCTTAAAATCTTCACTCCAAATTTAAGAGATTTTGTACACAATTTGTTTCTGCCTCAATCACACAAACTCTGCAGGCCTCTGCTTTGCTCTGTCACTGCTGGATAGATGTGGCTGCGCTCATGTAGTTCTTCCTGCTCCCTACAGAACATGGCCCTTTAGGTTCCCATGTCTGGTTGTTCCCTATCACCACTCATGCATCATACGTGGTAAACAGAGGGCTCGGGAGATGACTCAGTGGGTGAAATGTCTGCTGTGAAAGCATGAGGAACTGGGTTTTGATCCCCAGAACTTGGGTAAATGCCAGGCACAATAGTATGCGCTTCTAGCTCCAGGGCTTTAGAGAGGGAGAATGCAGAGTCCAGGGATTCACTGGGAAGCCAGACCTCCCAAAACAGCAAGTTCAAAGCTCCCAGAGAGACCCTGGCTCCAAATAAGTTAGGCAGAGGTAGAAGAAGACACTTGACATTGATTTGTGACCTCTACCTGCATATAAGCAGGGGTGAATGCATTTGCACGCACACACACACACACACACACACACACAATACCAAAACTGTATGGTAGTTCATTTTCTGACAACTAACAGTTTTATAAAAGATTACATTATATTTCATGTTTATATTTTATGGCTACACAGTAACACATTCTCAAAGCTGAAGTAGAGCTCAGATCGTGCCTTGTACTTTGATGATTGTTTACATAGTGCCATTAGCTATAATTTATACTGTGCTTTCACATTAGCTTATCTCATATTTGCTATGTCCATATCAATTAGGGGCATATCAATTTCTATGTGAAAATCACCAATTACCTCTCATATAAATTATTCCTTTTCTTCATAGGTACTTGTAGCCTTCAGCAAAAACATTATTACCAGAATTCCTGAAAGTGACTGATGTAGAAATGGAGCTCAAGTAGCATTTCCAATTAGGAAGCAGAGGTAAGGACCTGCTCTGCAGACCCCGCCAGACCACTTTTCTTTGGGTTGATTTCCTTACCTCCAAAAAGATGGAACCCCTTTCTGCAGCTTGGCAAGGGCCACTTGGCGGAGCTGGATTTCTGAAAGCTTTGCTTGATTTTCAAATATTCTTTAGTAAAGAATGTCTTTGTGGCATTGTTCAGTTCTAGAGTAAAAGGAAAGAAAAGAGCATTTTAGGCACTGATTTTAATAAAAAGGCAAGAATATGATTAACATGGGATTTTGATAATAAATTCAGATTTAAGTATGCAAATGTATTTAATTTTTAAAATCTCAAATATGTCACCCAAATTACTATTTGATGTAGCTTTGAAGCTGTGCTTACATACAGAACGCATTTTTATTGACAAGTATGTGCAGCGAGAGCTGTGCCAAGCAATGCTGGTGCACTCAGCAACGTCTGTTGTCAGGAGGACTACACACTAAAACACAGAATCAAACAGACAGTGGAAAAGAACCGAGTCTCACTACCACAGTGACAGGACAGCCAGAGGGCAAGTAGGGGTGAGGGTGAAAAGAAAATCCACTTCAGTTCTTTTTACTTCACAACGTGTTTACTTCTTTGTAAGATGTATTGGGCATCCACAGTGTGTCCTGCTGCAGATGAGAGTGACCTTTTAAAATGTAAAGATGCAGTCTCAATGTTCCAGAAGCTTTGCTAATGAGTTAAAAAGGGAATATTCACTTGCAGTACCCACAGGCCAACCAGAGGCTGTGCACAGCCTTCCCTTCAAACAGCAGACAGTCTGAGAGCCACAGAGCCACACAAGGGCAGGCAGGCACAGCCAGAGTCTGACTCCTCCATGCATGAACTCTCCCTGGAGAGGGCACTACAGGGTTGGTAGCCAACCTCCATCAGCCACCTGCTTTCGCCTTCAACCCCAAATGATCCCACGTAGCACCTGGCACCTCTTTGCTTTCTTTCAGAGGCCTCTGCCTCTGAGCCTTAGCTGACTCTAGTTGTGTGCAACTGTGTCTAGTTTTAACCCATCGCTGCCTTAGGTTGATGCTCAAGAAAGCGGAAAGAAAAAAACCAATTCACAGTTTACCTTAACAACAAAAGGGACAGTGTGAAAAATAGATTGAGGTTACGCATGAAAGTAGGAACTTCAGCTCCATTCCTGAATCTCTACCTGTCAGCCAATAATTCAAGCACAGGAGTTAGAAAAAAGGAAGTCTTTAGTCTCACGCACAGCTTCCTGCTTACAGTACATTTATGTAAGCCAGGCTTGTTAAGGCTCCTGCATTCTTGTCCTTTATGTGTTTAAATACTCAAGTGCTTTCGGGTGGCTGTTCTTGTGCTGTTTTCTGCAGAAATGTGCAGATATTTTCCTGAAGTCCCCTCTCGCCACTGCCAAGGAATAGCCCCTTCAGTCGAGACAACTATCTCCTGGCTAGGAGGAATCACCTCCACTGCGCTATTCACACTCATGAAGAGGATAGCAGAGGTCATCAATGACTTGTCACACTATACCTCAGGGCTCATGATTTTAATTTGCCCAGTTTTCCAATAAATCAAGTATCTGATAAGTGATATTGTGTTGACCATTAGGGAAAATACACAGCATTCTAAACATACTCATAAACAGACCAGAGTGGTAAGGTAATGAAGATTTCATGACATAGACAATATAAACTAACTCAATAATTTTTATTATTCCCTTTCTTCCTTCTGGGAATATTGTAACCATATTCTAAAAGTGTCAATGCAATAAACAAAGACACCAGCATACACATTCTCTTATTTGAAAACTTACTCGGAAATATAATTTAGCACTGACAAAAACAGATTAAAAAAAATGTAAAAGCCAGCCTGAAGCTTCTGGTAGAAGATGTGAAAAGTAAAATCAGTAATGGTGCCTATGCTACTCCACTTCTGGGCTTTAAGGAACTTAGTAGTCAGTGCACAAAAGCAATGGAGTGAAATACTTAGAGAACACATTCAGGGTAAACAATCACTAGGGCAGCAATTATTATAATTTGCAAGATATATGGGCAATTGTACCTGAACATGCATCTGTATGCCTACAGCATGGCCATGTGACACTGATCATTTTGGATGCTTTTATTTGCTCCACTTGAATGGAAAGGCATGTGGACAAGAGACGATCAGGAAACCGTTACTGTAATCATTGCCAGGCCAAGTCAAAGCTGGTCTTAATACTTTTTTTAACTGTGGGGCTCTCTGTCAGTCACTGAGCAGCTTTTTATTTCTGCTTCCCCCCTAATCTCCAGTAAAAAATTTACTCTGTAATCTGCCATGTGCCTGATACTTTGATGATGTATTTAGGAATAGAGATTAATTGAATCTAATGCTTTCAAAATGCCTGGCAGGTTGTCAAAATCACTAAGACACTTTATAGAAAGGTACATTTATCTAGAGAGTGTGGGGCAGGACTGTGTCTGTGGTCCATAAGTCTGTTCTAACAAGCCCTTTGAATGATTCAGATTCACAGCTTGATTGACAGCCACAGGGTGAAACAACCTTAACTTCTTTTTGGTTGTAATACTATAATACTATTTAAATGTATTAAGCCTTATCATATATATATATATCATATATATATCATATATATATATACACACACATATATATATATACACACACATATATATAAACCTGAGCAGTACCCTTCCTTTCCCAAGGAGTCCATTCTCATATAGATATGTGTTGTTTCACTCAGTGGCAAATTTAGGCTTGAAAATCCAGGCGTCAGCAACAAACAGAACATCCAACATTACATTTCTTAAAATAACTTGCAAGAAACACCAAGAATAAGTGGGAGGCAGGAGAGAGGTGACAAAACTCTCTGTATCACTTTCAGCTGCTACTACCTATCGGACAGCACATACTCCTTTTTTTAAAAAAAACAAATGCCATTTTGTGACAGCACATGCTGGAGAGGAGGTGGGGCAAAGAGAACACTCTTCCATTGCTGTTGGAAGTGCAAGCTTGTACAACCACTCTGAAAATCAATTTGGCAGTTTCTCAGAAAATTGGAAATAGTTCTACCTCAAGACCCAGCTATACCACTCTTGGGCATATATTCAAAAGATGCTCCAGCATACCACAAGAACACTTGCTGAACTATTTTCATGGCAGCTTTATTCATAATATTCCAGACACTGGAAACAACTTAGGTGTTCCTCAACTGAAGACTAGATAAAGAGAATGTGGCACATTTATACATGGAGTGTTACTCAACTATTAAAAACAAAGGCATGAAATTTGTAGTCAAATGCATAGAACTAATAAAGATCACTCTGAATGTGATAACCAAGACCCACAAAGACAAACATAGTATGTACTCACCTATAAGTGGATATTATGTATAAAGGATAACCATGCTATAATCCCCAGACCCAAAGAAGCTAAGTAACAAGGAGGGCTCAAGGAGGACACGTGAATCTGAGAAGGGAAAACAGAATAGACATCATGCATGGACAGGGTGGGGTGCTATGCAGGGGTTGAGGTGGGGATGGGAGCAGGAGGGATCAAGCTGGGATAGGGAGGACGGAGAGAGTACTGGGAGAGACAGCTGGAATCGGAGTGGCATCTCCTAGATGATCTAGAAACCAAGGGCAATGGAAACTCCCAGAAATCTAGGAGTGTGACCCTAATTAAGACTTCTAGCAATGGAGGATATGGAGTCTGAATTGGCCATCTCCTGTAACCAGGCAAGACTTCTAATGGAGGCACTGGGACACCAACCCAGCCACACAACTGTTGACCTAAAAATTTTCCTGTGTACAAGATGTGCAGGGATAAAAATAGAGCAGAAATTGAGGGAATGACCAAACAGTGACTGGTTGACCTTGAGACCCACAGCATGAGGAGCCCACTCCTAATACTGTTAATGACATTATGCTATACTTGCAGACAGCAGCCTAGCATAATCGTTATCAGAGAGGCTTTACCCAGCAAATGATGGGAACATATGCAGAGAGTCACAGCCAGACATTACATGGAGTTGGGGAATCCTATGGAAGAAGGGGAGGAAGGATTGAAGGAGCCAGAGAGGTTAAGGACACCGCAAAGAAACCCACAGAATCAACCAACATGAGTTCACAGAAGCCCCCAGAGACTAACCCGTCAAACTGAGAGGATGTATGGGACAGACCTGCGCCCTTGGCACACATGTAGCAGTTGTGCAGCTAGGTCTTCACAGGGGACTCCTAACAGCAACAGCAGGTGTTGCATTTGACACTGTTGCCTGCCTTTGGAGCCTTTCCCCACTGACTAGTCACCCTTGTCTAGCCACAACAAGAGAAGATGCACCTAGTCTTGTACAGGAATTTTAATCTTGCAACATGGCTGCTGTGGCAAGGGGTCACATCCAAAGACCTTCTAGGTCTGTGTGATCTGTCTGGAATACAGATAAACTCTGGATTACAGTAAGATCTGGCTAGAATACAGACACACTCTTAGTACACATCTTTAATCCTAGGTAAGGTAAAGTTGGTTTATAGAAGAAAGCAGCCATATTTGAAAGTGATGTCTAACTGAGGTGCAGACAAAGTGACAAATCTGAGAAAGATTTGACAAAATGAGTCAAAGATAAGATATGCCCAACTCTCATGAGAACAGGACAGGAAAGAAAGGCTACTTAAGAGCTGTGTAGGGAGAGAGAAGAGACTTGTTTTTTTTTTTTTTATTCCAATGCTGTGGTTTAATTATTGTACTTTGTCTATAGAGAAGAGATTTTTTTTGTTTTTTGTTTTTATTTTTATTAATTACAGTTTATTCACTTTGTATCCCCCCTTAAGGCCCTCCTTCCTCCCCTTCTGGCCCCTTTCTTCACACATGCCCCTTCCCAAGTCCACTTATAGGGGAGGTCCTCCTCTCCTTCCTTCTGATCTTAGTCTATCAGATCACATCAGGAATGACTGCATTGTCATCGAGAACAGAATTTTTTAACCACGAGCTTTTGGGGCTTTTCTTCTAGAGACAAATCTCCATATGTGAGTTAATGTTTTTCAGACTTTGGTTTGTAAACCATTAATGACATTCAATGTGATTCTGGATAAGACAATATTTATAGCTGCCGCTCATGTTAAAGTATATTAGAAGATATAAACTAGACCAAGAAATCAATAAATTTATAGACATATTGCTAAGGATAAGGCTAAGATAAGTACTTAACA